GTATCCGATACGTTTTTCTTTTTTTAACAAACTATAAAATTGTAAAAATTGATAAATTGACTTATTTAAAGAAAAGGAAAAAACTAAATTAAAAAAAAAGGGTTTTATCAAAACACAGATCACAACTCTTAGGCTTTTATATTCTCTATTTCTCTGATCTCTCACGTCATCTACTCATCTCTTCACGTCTCTCTCATCTTCTGGTTAGTGAAGAAATTCTCAATTGGAGCAGTATAATCAGGCTTTGAATATCTCGGTATCTTCTTGTTCATCATCTTTCGTAATTATATTATGTTGCCCCCACTTTATTCATCTTCCGTAATCGTTAAACAATCGTTAGAGTTTTGTTTCTATTTTTAATTTAGGATTTAATAAAATATGCTAAGAAAGTACATACATTAGTGCCGAGCTTATCATGTTTGCTAAACGTGAAACGACAACTCATATTATACCATTATCATGTTTGGAATTGAAGCAAATTATATATGTTAGTGCCTAGATCTTTATGTGCATTCCCTTTGTTTTGTTTTTCTTCTTAATTTGTTTTCCAATTTTTTATTTATAATTGCAGTTTGATAAAAATGGATTCTCAAAGTGGAAGTGATCATATTGGTAGTAGTTCTGCTCCATCTTCTGAATCTGAAGAAGCTCTATTGTGGAAATATGTAACGAACTTAGAGAAACTAGGAGCAAAGGGAGGAACTTGGAAATTCCAGTGCAATAACTGTAATAACACTCGTCAAGGCTCATATTACAGAGTTAAAGCACATTTACTTGGATTGTCGGGTCATGGAATTTCTCTGTGTAAGAAAGCAACAAGGATTGAAAAACTTGAAATGCAGAGATTGGAAGATGAGTGTGAGAAGAAGAAAGCTGAGTCTGGATCTAAAGAAGTCCCTTTGCCTTGTGAGAAAGATGTTGCCAGCTTTAAGAAAAGAAAGTCTTGCTTATCACCTATTGTTGCTGCATTTGGTATTCAAGCTATAGACCAACTAGATCAAGAGAGTGGAAGAATGTTTTTTACAGGAGGCTTGTCATTCAATCTTGCTAGAAACCTGCATTACCACAGGGCATTTCCGTTTGCTGCTGCCAGAAAAATTGATGGTTATGTTCCTCCTGGTTATAATAAGCTGAGAACCACCTTATTGCAGAAAGAAAAAGAGAATGTGAAGAAGTTATTAGTACCGTTGAAAGGGACATGGAAAGAAAGAGGTGTGACGATTGTGAGTGACGGTTGGAGTGATCCTACACGAAAACCTCTAATCAATTTCATAGCTACTTCTGGAAGTGGTCCTCTGTTTCTGAAGGCTGTGAATTGTTTCGGCGAAGTCAAAGATAAATACTTCATTTCTGATTTGAAGCAAGAAGTTATCAATGAAGTGGGTCATCAGAATGTTGTGCAAATTATCACAGATAATGCACCAAGCTGTAAGACGGCTGGAGAGCATATTGAGAGTTTGTTTCCCCACATATATTGGACACTATGTGCCGTGCATACACTTAATCTGACCTTGAAGAACATTTGTGCAGCAAAGAGTACAGAAGGGAATGCAGCAACCTATGAGGAGTGTAACTGGATTACTGAAGTTCATGGGGATGCACTTGCTATTAAAATTTTCATTATGAACCATAGCATGAGACTAACAATTTTCAGTAAGTTCTCTCCTCTTAGGTTGATTTCTATTGCTGATACTCGCTTTGCGTCAATTATAGTGATGCTTAGAAGAATGAAACTGATCAAGATGGGTCTTCAAGCCATGGTTATCAGTCAGAAGTGGTCTTCTTATAGAGAGGATGACACTGAGAAAGCAGTCTTAGTTAAAGAGAAGATCGTGAATGATAATTGGTGGGAGAAAGTGTCTTATATTCTTGATTTCACTAGACCTATATATGATATGATTAGGTTTTGTGACACTGACAAACCATGCCTTCACTTAGTATATGAGATGTGGGATTCTATGATTGAGAAAGTGAAACTTGAGATCTATAAGAGAGAAGCTCGACCAATGACAGAATTTAGTCTCTTCTATGATGTTGGCTCGTTGGACAAAGAATAACACACATCTACATTGTCTAGCTCACTCTTTAAATTCAAGGTATTATGATTATATATATTTTTTAAAAATTTCTTTGTCGTATATATATATATATATATAATATTTTGTATTTTGTAGATTTTATAGTGATGAATGGCTAAATGAAGATTCCTCAAGGAGTGCTCCACATAGAGATGCAGAAATCTCAATTTATAGGATGAAGTGTTTTGGGAGATTGTTTCCAAATGATGATGATCATCTGAAAGCTATATGCATAATTCTCGATGAGGACTGGTCCTTTTGCGGATTTAGCATGCGTTTCGACAATGTTTACTATGGATCCTAAAAGTTGGTGAGCTAACTTTGGTGCCCAAACTCCTCTCATCCAAACTCTGGCTTTTAAGTTGTTTGGACAACTTTCTTCATCTTTTTGTGTTGAGCGCAATTGGAATACTTACTCATTCATTCATTCACTGAAAAGGAACAAGTTGACTCCAAGTCGTGCTGAAGATTTGGTTTTCATCCACAACAATCTGCGTTCTTTGTCCTGGAATTCTGAAGAATATGAAGCTGAAAAGACCAAAAAGTGGGATGTTGGTGGAGATGTTGATTCCATGGAAGAAGTTGGATTTTTGGAGTTTGCAGATATTACATTAGATGAGTCAGATTTGGAGTTAGTTGTTGATTAGATTGTTTTTATTGTTTTTATAAGGATATTAAAGTAAGTGTTTTTTTAAAACTGTTAAGATTTTTGATGTTATTTTTTTATATATTAAATTATGGATATTTTTTTATATTTTATTGCTGTATTCATGTCGTATCTGTCTCTACAATTTTTCAATTTAATGTTTCTCGTTTCTGTTCATGTTTTCATTTTCTGTATCCGTACTCATCTCAGTGCAACTTATATTTTCTCTTTGTCGGTCACTGGCCAAAAATATGAAACAACGATAAAAATTTTTTTGAAGAAACTTGAGAGAAATTTTCTCTTTCTAGAGTTAGAGAGAGAAAAAGCTCAATTTCTTCTCCATGGTTAAAGTGTAACATTTGCTATCGACAAACAAAAAAACTTCTGTCAATTTTAACCAAAATTTTTTTCCCGATTTGATTTCCTATATACAGCTGCTAAACGTATGAAAATCAAACCAAAACTTTATATCAATCTAAACTAATTTGACCAAAAAATAGGCTACCAATTACAAACTATTAGGGCCAGGACTCAGACCCATGATATGAAATTTAGGATGAAAACTAGATTCTAACCCCGTGCATCCGCACAAGAATGTTTTATTTTTTTTTATTTTTAATATAAATTGCATTTATCTTTTTTGTTTAGATATAATTTGTTTTTGTTATTTATTTTTTAAATCAAAAAATTATTATCGTATTTTTTTATAAAAATGTATAGTAAATAAATATTTTATCGTATTTTATCATAATCAATTAGTCTAAAATATCAAATATTTGAGATTAGTAAATATTTATATTATATAATAATATGATCGAGTTGATTAGAGTTATATATATATATATAAATATATTTAAGGTCCATGAGTTAATTTATTAAAACATGTAAGATATTAAGATGATTTGAAACAATTAAACTAACTGGTTAGCAGTTTATATATATATATACATTTTTTTAATAGCACAAATAATAAATAAATATCTTATTATATTTTTTCATAATCAATTGGTCCAAATATTCCATATTAGTAAATATTTATAGAGTTATACAATTATAATTATAGTCTAATACGAGTTAGTTTGTCAAAACATGTAAGATATTAAAAATGATTTAAGACAACTAAACGGATGGATTAGCAAATTCATAGATATATAGATTTTTTTATGTGTAAATCTAAATTCACATAATAACAAAGTTTATAATTACCATTAGATCAATGTTTACTTAATTAACACATACTCTTATTCTACTAATATACAAATTTTACTGTTTAAAATTAAAATGTGATAACAACTTTTTGATTTTAAAAAATAAATAACAAAAACAAATTATATCTAAACAAAAAAGATAAATGCAACTTATATTAGAAATAACAAATAAAACATTCTCGTGCGGATGCACTGGTTTAAAATCTAGTGAATTTGAAAAATAGAGCACTGAAAAACTAGCGAGAAATTAAAACTTTCGAATGGGCTTTTAATAAAAACCATAGGCCCAATAATAGACCCGAATGTGTAAATTGACCCGATATTATTAGGTGAAATCTAAAATCGATTTGTTCCGTCTCTACCTCTTTCTCTCTCTTGCTCTGCCGTCTGCATTAGACCGCCGAATCAGCCATGAGGAAGAGTAGGAACAAGAAGAAGAGAGACGACGTCGTTTCCATGGACGTCTCCGAAACTAAGAGCGTTTCTGAAGCTGTCCCTGAAGGTAAAAATCGCGTCTTGGTTTATATATGAATTATGTTTTATATTTTTGATAAAAATGTTTAATAGTATAGAAATTATTTAATTTAGAATCTTTAAATTAAATCTAAATTAATATCTAATTTATTATTTTTAATCAAATCAAATCAAATCTAAATTATTTATATTAAAGAATTCTAAAAATATTTAAATTAATAACTAATGTTCGAAATTAAATATAAATAATTATTAAAATTATTTTTAAATACTTAAAAAAATTAGGAGTGTTTGGAATAAGTATTAAATGTGCTTCTGTTTTAATATAATAGATAGTTTTGGATATGCTTTATTTAGAAGTTAGAACCGAAGTAGAGTGCTCGGTGGAACCCAAACGGTTTGTTTAAGATATTTTTGCAATTTGCATGGTGGACCAAACAAAGATATTTTATTGAATCTTATCTGAAACTATGAATATACACACGAAATTTAATTCAACGGCGCCGCTAAGCTATGGGCCATATCGAAATAATACACCGAATAATCATTTTTATAATTACTAATCCAAATACCTTTTTCTTTTTCTATAAATAAAAATATCTAAATCCTTATCCACTTCATTCTCCTCTTCTGGATAATTTCAAAGTTTCTAAAAAAACTCAGCTTCTTGCTACTTCCTACAAGATGATAAAGTCGGTGACTCTTCGTTCGTTTCCTCTCCCTATAGAGTTCAACGGCAAGTCTAAGTTCCTCGAGCCGTCGACGTCTTATTTCCCGGCGAGATCCTTCACAGTGGTTCGGTGTTCAAGCACGAGAGACGTCCCTAAGCTTGAGCTCTTCAGCCGCGGAAAATTCGATCGGATTCTTCAAGATCCGCCATTAATTGAAAAAGCCGAGTCCGAACTCTCAGGTACATTAGAACAAAAGCTATGATTAGAACAATATATAAGGTTAACGAATCTTGTCGACGAAGAAAACGTTTCTTGTTCTTGAAATCTCAAACTTGTGGCTGTGTATTCTGCTTGTCAAGATGTTAATTATTAGATCTTTGAGTCATGTTTGATTTCTTGATTTTCAGATTACTGTTCGACGCTTGAAGGTGATGATTCTTACAGCTGCTGGAAAGCATACTTTGAGCTCAAAGACCTCGAAGTAACTTCTTCTTTACCAAAATTTATATTTTCTACAAATTCTAGGTTCTTCCATAAGTTGATACTTATGTGATTTTGCAGAAAGAGAAGCCAAAGGTGGAAGTTGAGAATCTGATCTTGCAAACCGGCGGTTTAAAATCGTTAATCGGGTGTTTACACGGGGTTGCTTTGATAGAGAAAGACAAGAAAACCAAGAATGGTTTAGAATCAACAGAGGAATCAAATTCAAAGAAAGGAAGCATGAAACTACATATTCATATCCCTGATGGTTTACCAAAATCTCAAGAAGAGTTAGAGGAAGAAGAGAAATCGTTAATGCCCGATTCTGCTTTCACAAGATTGCTTAGAACAATGGGAACCATCCCTGCTTGGTTCTCTCACGTTCCTGACCATGAAACAGACTAAATAATCTTTAGAAAGTTGTTTCCTTATCACGGTTTTGCTTTCATGTAAATATAGCAAAAGTTTGGTTTCTTGATTTTGCTTAGAACATACAGTCACTGTAATCTCTCTTTCATATTCCCAAGAAAATGTGGTTGTCATTGCGGAATGTTCGAGAAATGATTGATATCAAGTTTGTTTCGAAGCCGTGTGGTTACAAAGAGATATTAGCTACAATTTTCTATTCTTGATAGTGTTTTGTCTCCGTATGTGAAGGAAAATCCCTCAAAAACAAAACAAACAAAACAAGAGTGTTCTAATTATAGGCAAAAGAATTGTTGGTGAAGCAAAATGAAAATCGTTGGGCATTATTAATAATAACCCTTAGGTTTCTTCATCGACTCCTTCAATGCCCATATCTATAAGCAGCCTTGGGTCTATCCAAGGTTTTGTTCAAAGCCCCAATGACTAAACCTCCACCCTTTGGCTGCTTCCTCTTATTCTTCTCTTTCTTCTTCTTCTCCTCCTATGTTGTTTTAGCACTCACGGACGCGGAGGCCTCCTTCATTGCGCAAAGACAGCTCTTGACATTACCTGAAAACGGCGATCTTCCCGATGATATCGAGTATGAGGTTGATCTCAAGGTGACATTCGCCAAAAACAGGCTTAAGAGAGCGTACATCGCTCTCCAAGCCTGGAAAAAAGCGGTTTTCTCTGACCCGTTTAACACCACAGGGAACTGGCATGGTCCGCACGTGTGTGGCTACACGGGCGTGTTCTGCGCTCCAGCTCTTGATGATCCTAGCGTCGCAGTTGTTGCTGGTGTAGACCTGAACGGTGCGGATATCGCAGGGCATTTACCGGTTGAGCTTGGTTTAATGACGGACGTGGCCATGTTCCATCTGAATTCAAACCGGTTTTGCGGTATCATACCCAAGAGTCTTGATCGGTTGAAGCTAATGCACGAGTTCGATGTTAGCAACAACCGGTTCGTTGGACCTTTCCCGTCCGTTGTTCTCTCGTGGCCGGCCGTTAAGTACATTGACTTAAGATTCAACGATTTCGAAGGCCAGGTCCCACCAACACTTTTCAAGAAGGATCTTGATGCAATTTTCTTGAACAACAATAGATTCACTGCAACCATTCCTGAGTCTCTTGGAGATTCATCAGTCTCGGTTGTGACTTTTGCTCACAACAAATTCACCGGTTGTATCCCTAAAAGTATTGGAAACATGAAGAATCTCAACGAGATCATCTTCAAGGACAACAGTCTCGGTGGTTGTTTCCCGTCGGAGATCGGAAAGCTAGCTAACGTGAACGTTTTCGACGCGAGTATGAACTCATTTACCGGTGTTTTACCACCGAGCTTTGTTGGGCTTACCGGTGTGGAAGAGTTTGATATCTCTGGGAATAAACTCACTGGTTTTATGCCGGAGAATATTTGCAAGTTGCCTAATTTGGTTAACTTGACGTATGCTTATAATTACTTTAACGGACAAGGCGATTCTTGTGTTCCGGGGAGTCAGAAGCAGGTTGCTTTGGATGATATACGTAACTGTTTGCCTGATCGGCCTAAGCAACGATCGGCTAAGGAATGTGCGGTTGTGATTAGCCGTCCGGTTGATTGTAGTAAGGACAAGTGTGCTGGTGGTTCTAGCTCCGGTACACCGTCGAAGTCAAAACCGCCATCACCGGTGCCAACTCGGCCGGTTCAGAAGCCACAGCCACCGAGAGAGTCACCAAAAATAGATGATCCGTTTGACCAGTCTCCTGTGAAGTTCAGGCGTAGCCCACCTCCGCCACAACCGATACATTCACCACCACCGGTCCATTCACCACCACCGCCGGTTCATTCACCACCACCACCAGTACATTCACCACCACCACCACCGGTTCATTCACCACCACCACCATCACCGGTATATTCACCACCACCGCCAGTCCATTCACCTCCACCACCGATTTGGAAAGTACAACCACCAAAAGAGTCACCACAACCAAACGATCCATATGATCAATCTCCAGTGAAGTTCCGACGTAGCCCGCCTCCGCCACAACCAACCACGTCTCCCAGTGGTTCACCTCTCCACCACCACCGGTATATTCTCCAACCG